ATTCCCTTGACTCCCAGCACATGAATCCCAGGAAATCAAAGAGGGGCCTCAGGAGGCTGGGAGTCCACTCCTCTGCCCCAAACCAGAACTGTCTCCTTCTCAGCCTCTTCAATGCTTCCCTAATTTCTTTCAGTAACCTTCAGAAACTTTCCAGGCAATCATTTGAATGCTTTGCTATCCTTGCCATTGCAATTGTTTTACTGTTTCCTATCCAAATGCCTGCAGCACAAAAAGAATTAGCCAAGTCTGATTGTGGGGCTGGAATGGGCTGCCACATGGATGGTGCTCTCCTATGCCTGGATGCCCCTAATGACATTTGCAATCTCATCGCACCCCTGCAGAGACACAGGTAAACATTACACTGATAGGAATTTTTCCCTGCTAAGTTGCAGAAGAGCCACCTGCCAGGAATGGACTTAGTTTTAGTCCTAAAGACCTTCTGAGAATTACAACATAAAACCATGGTCTCAGAAACAACTGAAATTATATAAGGGAATATAATTAAGCAGGAATAGCTGTGAAACTTTTCAGCAAGTGCATTATTCCTGTTTAATTTACTCTGCTTTTCAACCCAGTGCTTGACTCAGATTCAGATTCATTTCTCCTTATAATACCAGAATTAGGAAATACTGCCTCAGTCACCTTTCCTGCGTTCATCATCTGCATTCTGACACACGGTCTTGTAAGTGAGCCTCAGGCCCTCCAGTTCCTCTTCCAGCTGCTCACGCACTGCGGCCGCCTGTGAGCGGCGGTCTTGGCTCTTCTCCAGCTCCCGCTGCAAATGGGCCAACTGCTGCTGTGCTCCGTACAGAACCACCCCAAGCTCTTCCCGCTGTTCCTTGCCCTTCCTCATATCTGCCCTCTGCCAACACAAGAGGAAATCAGCTCTCTCCCTTCAGCTTGCACAGGGACGGGCTGCTGCAGGAGGGCAAAGAAAGAATGCTGCATACCAGCTCCTGAAGCTCTAGGTTCACTTTTTCCATCTGCTTAGTAAGGTAATTCTTCAGAGCAGCCTGGAATCTTCTCATCAGAGGCTGTAAGGTAGGATGTTGAGAAACTTTAACACACTTGTGTCAATAAATTATGAAGAAACCTTGCTGCTGTTCCCACTATTAAATAAAACATCTTATTTTCTTCCCTAGACACTCACATTCTCAATTTAGCTGCACTCACTTGGCAAGCGAGGAGAGTTACATAGTGGGTATTAGCTGAAATCAGAAAGTGACTACTGAGAATATCTGAAAGTCAGAAACTTATCAGAAGAGCTACATCTGAGAACCCATCCACTCGCTGCAAGTACTGCTCTTTCAAGAGCCATGAAAAGCATCAGGTTTACCCTTTATATTGCTCACTTCTGAGCCTGCAGCTCTGGGGTTAATGCTGAGGGAGCAGACACACTCACTACTTTTGTGAAAGTTATTTTTAAAGACATAGTTTTAGCAGACAGCCAACCCCCTGCTTACAATTTACCACACACATTTTAGACAAATAAAAATCTCAAGCCTGCAAAGGAGTGTGACAAGATTTGAGGACTTCTCACATGTTCTGGATCCAAGACAACCAACTCTGTTTCTTCTGCGGTTTTCTCACTTCTGGGTATTTCACGTTCCTCAGCCCCATGCTGCTGCCATTCCTCTTCCTGTTTTTGGTCACCATGCTCACTTGTAAGTGCTCCAAACTGCTCAAAGGCAGATTCTAAATAGAGAAAACTGGGTTCTCCAGTGTTATGTGAACCCCACACCCCCCAAAATAAGAAGATAAAGAAAAAGGCTTAGATGTCACAGTATTGTGCCTTCAGTTGAGTTAGTAATGATCAGATAAGGAGAAAACCAGGAACTGTGCTTGATAGCTGGTATCAGGTGTTGTGCTGTCAATAAAGAATTGAATGATACCTGACTCTGCGCAGCTGCTCAGCTCCACTGACAAAGCAGATGCCTGCAGAGGAGCTCCTGCAGGAAGGGGAGTGTTTCCTCTGTCTGTCACTGGCTGCTCCATGTCCCTCAGCTCAGAAGGAGAACTGTCACATTCTGCTGTGTCCGAGAATGTCTCAGGAGGTTTTTCCTGAAACATAAAACTCAGCACCTGAAACACCTTTACAATCTACCCCTATTTGCCCCTAAAAGTCTCCTTATTTTTGTCAACATGAGACGTGAACAATGCAGACAAAGGATCAACAAGAGGCCTTGTTCTAAAATCAGTGCACAGAGATACTGGCAAAGCTGTGTTACTCTCAAGAAAAACTTACACATACACAGCACAACAAGGGAACCTCCCCAGGTTTGTCAGAGCTTTTCTATACTTTGTGTTTGACCAATTCACTGCTTCTCTGCCCCAGGTTTCATTGGGTTTGCGTTTGCAGCAATAAAACTGCACCAACAGAATGTGAAGTTACAAACACTGGGCATACACTCTGTGAATAAGGTTATAGATAATATTATAGTGTCTCACTTCTGTAGCTCCAGAGACCTCTCCTTCTGCTGGGGGAAGCACCTTCTCTTTATCCTCCAGAGGAACAGACTCTTCCTCTTCGTTCTCCTTCCCGTTCTCCGGTTCCATGGCCTAGCATACACCACAGGGGAAGAGTAGAACAGCAGCATGTGCACTTTGTTTAACATCATTGTAACAGGAATGTAACAACTGGGCACAGGCGTTCAATTTAGAAGTTTAATTTCATTCACAAAACCAGTCACACAGCAAGGCTGGAGACAGCACAGACCCTGACAGACTCCTGCACACCCCTTGGGATCTCCTGATTTTAGCTCACATCTACTGAAACAAATAAATGCCCTTAGGGGTTTATTAAAGAACCTCTTCTGGCTTGCAACACATATAGCCAAATTGTTCTCTGTTTCCTTTTCGTAGAGACACTTTTTATCCCATATCCTTTTTGCCAAATTCAAGTATTGTGCAACAGAAGAAGAAAACTTATCACCAACGCAGCCCAATGAAAAAAGACCAAGCATATGCATCTATGAAACATGGAAAACCTCCTTTGTAAGGTGTCTGCAGCAGAAACGTGTCAGAGGAAATCACCTCCATAGCGAGATGGGGGGGAACCTGGATTATATCCTGCTCAGCAGAGCCTAATTCCGGTCCAGATCCCCCTGCTGCGGCAGCAGGAGCCTTATCCACGGGGCTGGCCTGTACCTGCAACCAGAGGCAAGAAAGAGAGTGACCCCGAGCCGCGGGCCCCGGTCGGGCCCCGGTGGAGCGGCCCCGGTGGGACCCAGCTCCGCACTCACCCACCACCGGCAGCACCATCTTCCCCGTTGCCCGGCGACGCGTCAACACCTGGTCACGTGCTAGCTGTGGGCCGCACCATCTCAGCCCGCGGAGGGGGAGCTCGGGCCGCACCACCTCAGCCGCTGGGGGGGAGGGGGTGTGCACGGGCCGCACCACCTCAGCCCGCCGGGCCCGGGCCAGACCTGCTGTGTCCCGGCCGCCATGGCCGCGCCGGCCCCGGTGCGGGGCAGCAGGTAACGGCGGGGGACGGGCGGGGCGGGCCGAAGTTGCTCTTTGCCCTTCCTTCCCTGGGGCGGCCCCACCTGAGGCAGCTCCGAGCAGCCCCGGGTCACGCCGGCGGGGAGCGGGAGAGGCGGGGCCGCCGGGCGGGCACACCCCTGCCGGGCTGGGCCGGGTGGAGCGGGGCGGCGGCGGTCCCGGTGCGGGGGCCCGGGTGGGCGCTGGGCCCGGCCGTCCCGTCCCGTTCCTCAGCCAGAAGTTTCCCCGGGGGTCGTCGTTGCCGGTAAAAGCACCGGGGCCGCGGAGGGGGGGGGGTCGCTCTGTGCGGACGCGTTGAGCGGCGGGGTCGTGGCTCTGGGCTGCGGCGCTGGCCCGGGCCGGCCGCTCCTCACGCGTGGAGCTGTCACATGGGGCCGCGGCTCCCGGTGTCCCGCCCGGTGATGCACCATTTCCTTATCCCGTTCTTTGTCTTCCCGAGGGTCGCTGGGGAGGGGCTGTGAAACCGGGATGAGAAGCGGTTCTTAAACTTCATCTGCCGCTCCTATGGAGCGGCTCCGCGCAGCCCCGGGTACCGGCACCTTTCCTTCCCTTTGGGAGGTGGCCCTGCTCCCAAAGCACCCCGCTGTGTTTCTTCCTTAGCCGAGTTCAGCGGAGACATAAAGATGGATGTTGGGATTCTTGGTAATTATTTGATGTGTGGCCTTCAGGCGCTCCGGGGCAGGGATTACGTGTTGATATATTGCTCACTGTGCTGCTGACACTAAAATAACTCTGCTTCTTCTCTGAAGTCTGCCTTTTTGGTTCTCAGACTAGAAGCTTGTCGTGTAAAGGTATTATGTTCTCAGCTGCCACTCTGAATAGGAAGTAATAAAAATGAAATATCTTTTAAGAGAAAATAGTAGAAATATTGAGACCAGGACAGCTCAGGGTGAAGAGCTGGGGCTTGCTGCTTCTTTTGTTCCTTTCCGTCTGTGGGCTTAGAGGAGCTCTTCCTTGTTCTGGTGATAACTTTGCTGGATTGCTGGGATGGGGCAGTGTTGAGTCGTCCGGCAGGCACGGAATGGGGGGTAGGGGGAAAGGCGACTCCTTTCAAAGCATCAGAGACAGCTGTTCCGACTTCTGGTGTATTAAGAAACGACTTTGCAATTAGTTCATCGTCTCAGCTGTGATATCAGGTTCTGGGAATTCTTCACCTGCTGTTACTGGGGGCGTTACCATGCCACGGCTGCAGGGCATTGGGAACGAAAGGCCATAAAAAGTTACCTACTGCACAAGCGCTGCAGTTAAGTGACATGAAACTATGTTTAATCTGGAGATGGAGGGCCATATGGCACAAATAATTTCCTGCACAGAAGCGTGTGTTGTGGTTTGGCTCCTGGTGCTGGAGGGAGAGAAGCTTCTTGTTTGCTTTCTTTCTGCCTCAGCAGGTGTGGCTGGAAGCAGCAGGCAGGCTCCCACCATAGCATTTGGTTTCCCGTTTTGTCTCTGCATCACAATCTTGCAGTATTTAGTCTGCTGTCCCTTTTTTACCTTCTCAGCTGAGACACATCTGAGTGAAGCTGTTCCACTGAAGCGACTGGGATCAGAGCTGAATCCTGTCAGGATCCCAGCCCTGGCTGGTGACTGCTGGTTCTCTGCCTTTCCTCTGTGCTCCACGTGCCACTGCTGCACCAGCGGCTCAGGAATGAAAGACTTTTTGGTGACCTACATAGTTCTCCCCATGCGATGGCTTCAGAATGGTTCCCTATGGTAAACATTTTTACTTGATTTGGCTAGGTCATCTTAAATAGCTCCAGCTAATAGCTGTAGTTCTGGAAGCTTTATTTCCCCCTAATGAAGAGGTATTGCAGTACAAAGGGAAGGTTGTTTCACAGCTCTCATGTACAACTAGAGTAGTAGAGATGAAGGGAGTGACTAGCTGAGAGGTGCACAGATAATCCATTCAGAGGACTAGAAAAAACCTGTGAGTCCTGACCCCAGGCTCCAGTCCCTGCTCTGCCTTCCAGCACGCTGTAACCTGTGCTTGAACCGCCAGAGATACAGAGACACATGTGCTTTTCCCAAGGGGAGAAAGGGGCAGGAGCTTGTGCTGTGTCAGAGACCTCCCTGTTGCAGTGACTCTGTACTCCTTAAATATGTAACATCAAATTAAAGTTGTTAAGGGCAGGAAAGACAAAAGACTGATCCGTTTTTCTTACTTCAGGCATTTCATGCTTCAGTTCAGTGCCGATGTTTGACGGCTCATGTTTCTCCTCTGCGCCCAGACTTGCTGTAGGTCTCATGTTTCGCTCCAAGAGCCCTGTAGCTCGCCTTATTTTGCTTGTAAAGCTATTAAACTCGCACAGCAAGTTTGTCCTTGGAGCCACAAGACCCTCTGCCAGGCACCAAGTGCTCAGCAGTGTGACTCGTTGGCAGCAGCCAACCCCAAAGCGTGGCTGTCATCTGCCTCTATGGGCTAAACTCATTTGTGAGAGGAGCCTTGTTGCCTTGTGTGCTCTGTGTCAGCTTTGTAATGTGCAGGAGCCCTGCATTGCCCTCCTGTGCCGGAATACAGGAATCTTGTGCAACCGGAGGCAGCACCATTTGGTCCAGCAGCGAGTGCCAAGGTGAGGGTGTGATCTGCCAAGGCAAACAGCATTTGTTGGTGGTAGGTTTGGGAGAAGGGCACGTCTGAGGGAGGCGAGCAGCCGGCATTGCTTGAGCTGCTGCTGGCTGGAACTGCTCAGGCTCTTGCGAGCAGGCTCCTGGGGTGATTTCAGGAGCTGGCTCCCAAGCACGTTTGTGAGCTCTGGTGTAGCTGAGAAGTGCTGGCACTGCCTGGGAGAGCAGCCAAGGGCTGCGTGAACAGACTCAGTAGCTGTAGCAAAGAGCTTTAGCGGCGACAGTTGATGTGTGGGAGAAGAAAATGTATGTGTGGTTAATAAATATTGGCACTCAGTAAGAGTTTTTCAGCTAATTCGGTGCCTGAGCTGCTGGGGAGCTGGGTTGTCTCTGCCACGTTGAAAAGGATCCTTCAGATCAGGGCATAAATAGAAAACTAATAGGAGAGAACCTTTTTTTGTGAATGGTGCTAATTCACTGCTGACTGAGCAGCAGGACAGATCTCATTGGCCTTCCCAAGCTCACACAAGAAGCAGCAGCAAATCCTGCTTCTTCTCCAGGCCCATGGCCTGTGTGTGCAGACACTGTTCCACACAAAAAGGGCTGAGAATAGAGCAAACCCTGCAGATCTGGTCTTTTTGTTTGCTGGTTTCTGTTGTATGAGCTCTTGCCTTTTGGGAAAGAGAGGCACCTTCTTCACAAGCTGTTTCAGAGACTTTCGGGTTGTACATATAGACTTGATGACCTTCAAAGGTCCACTCCATCATCTGGTCCTTGCTGGGACCATCTATCTGTTTCTGTGGCCAGCCTTTGAAACCCCTCAGTGATGGAAATGGCCTCTCCAGGTTGCCCTGTTCTTCGCACCTTTATCCCTGCTATTGGAATGAGTAAACTAGATATTCCTTGCCACAGCTTAACAGCTGTGAGAGGATTAATTCCAGTCTTGCTGGTGATGTTGCTATCTCCCAGTATGTTTGACTGCTTGGTTGCAGCACTGTAGTGGTTTCTGATTTCTGATGCGTGGCTCTTTTGCAAGTCAGATGCCACAGGCTGAGTTTCTGTGCTGGCAGGACACCATATTCTTCACCTCCTGTCATTGCTGTTGTTTCCTCTTCCCAGCACACCTATCCGTGTGTGTACCTGCAGCGCCGTCCAACCGCTCATCAGGGCAGTGCTGGAGCAACACGTGTTCTGCAGGATCACAGCAGTGTTTCCCTTTAAATTCCTCCTGCTTTCCAGGGAGCAGCTTTTGATCTTTACCTGTGGCTTTGTTCTTTCTGGGCTAGGTAAAACTAATTAAATGCTGCCTCTGTTAGCAGTGAACCCTGCACCTCTGCTGTGCTCTGAGAGCCCCTGGAGAGCAGCAGGAAAGCATCACACAAGCTCATTTCATACCTGCATCTCCATCTGCTGTCCCTAGCAGGAAAAGCTCACTAGTGTTCCCCGAGGAAGTGGCCGCATACCACCCTCCTCCTTTGCAGGTTTGGTGCTTTCAGAGCTCTCATGAAGTAGCTGGCACAGCTGAAGGTCCGGATATCCGGGCTTGACAGCAATGGGCAGAGCTGCACACACTGCGCTGCCTGGCAGTGGTACCCTCCTCAGCTGTGCTGGAGGCTCAGGGCCTCTTGATGCTGTGCAGGTTGCTCCACATCACTGCTATGGACTCCCTCAGCACTGTGTTGAAATGGTGTGTTGTAACTCGGTGGTGGGAGGCAGGAATTGCAGCAGTTTGCTGTGTGTTCTTGCAGTGCAATGAGAGGAAAGGTGACCTGCTCTTTAAATGTGGTTGAAGCAAATTGCTTTCTCCAAGATGTGACCCAGCGCCTCAAACAGTGCTGTGGTTTTTGATGAACTGAACAAGAATGAGCATATGGCTCCACTGCAGTTTGGTTTTGGGGGTTGAGACATAAAGATGCATGTTGTGTTTGGTGCTAGAAGGCAACCCGAGTGCAAAGGACTTGCAAAGTAATTGTCTTACCCCGAACACTTGCTGGGCACAGGATGTAGGAGGGATGAGGCTTCTCTCTCCAGTTCCAGCAAAGACTGAAATGCAGGAACTGCTTATGCTGTGATTCAAGCTGACAAATGCAGTGATTGCCAGTTAAACCAATGGTTTGTCCTTTAATGAAGGCTCTGTCAACCACTTGGCAGCCTCATCTGCAATCTTCTGTATGTGCAAATCTGTCAGAATCAGGACAGTTACTTTCCTTCCCTGCAGCTTTCATTCTGCTCTTTGAGAAGCGCAGGTTTCCATTGGCTCTTTCTGCCTTCTCGCTTCCTGTTTGCCTGGAGATACCTTTAAAACCATGTTTAGAGAAACCAGAGCTGTTCATTGACGATGCTTTAGGCCCCTACATGTTTCCTGCATATAGTGCCCTGACAGTACAAGTCAGGGCCTGTCTGCTCTTGGTTTTATGTCTGGCTGCCCTTGTTGCATGCCCTGCAGGTCATGGTGTGGGAATTGTCATGAGGGAACACAGTGGGCTGCCCCTGGAGCTGGGACCGTGGTGATGTGTGGTGTGTGCTGGGTCAGACTGGCCTGTTCACGAGCGAGTGAGGCCATGTAAATACAAAGGAACAAAAGTAGATGGGGCCTGTCCTCGTGTACTTTTGACAGAACAGAAGCTGCTGTGCCTCGGACAGTCTGCTTCCCAGCTGGGCACAGCAGGAGCAGGTAGAGCCTGCTCAGTGTTGAGCTGGGCTGGGCTGTCCGTGGGACGCAACACCCATCTGTTGTTTCAACAGCTCAAGTGTTCTCCTTGATCCATCTGCTAGTTTACAGTTTGGGTGGCCCCCCTGGGCTCACTGCAGAGCTCCTCTTCCACAGCCCTGGAGGGGAGAATGTCTCATTTGCATACAGAGCTTCCTCAGTGATGAGCTGGGGATTGGACTCCCCAGTTAACTGGAGTCACCTACCCATAGATGACCTGTCTGCTGGAGGCAGTGTGCCACGCTCTGCTCAACGTGGGCCTCCTGCCACTTATATCTGCAAAGGCTCTATGTAACCACACTGCTCAAACAAACAACAAAACCCCCAAACTCCCAAATCCCAACCCCAAACCCTCAGACACGCAGCAGGAATATGCCAAAAAAATGGTGAGCACAACATGAACTTGCTTTGCTTAATGTTTTCTTTGGAGATCGGTGGTTACTGCGGGCGAAGCAGCAGCCCCTTGTTAAATGTCATGGTCTCAGCAGTTTTTCCATGATGAAGGAATCCTCCAGGGTCTACTCTGACTCTCTTTGGCGTTCCCAGGACAGTGATACATTGGACAGCTCTGCATCGCTGAGCTATTCCCTTAATGGGCAATTTGCAGTGACAAGCATTACTTTTCTCTTTCCCCCACAGTAACTATTGAAACGTGGGGGGTTTGCTGCCTTCATATTTCTTCATTGCAGAGAAAAACATCCTGGGATTCTGTATTTCATCTTTAAAATGTAAAGTTACAGCTCCATAGCACTTGGAGGCTGTTGCTTGGGCTGTAGGATGGATGCAGCAGTTACGAGAGACCTCTTTCTTCCCAGACAGTGGAGGGCGCATGCTGTGGTGTCATGTCTGTTCTAACACTGTTCTTTCCACCTCCTTGGCAGATCTTCCCACTCTGGCTCCTGATTAGAGCTGACGGATAATGGAAACATTTCCTTGGCGATGTCTCTGGGGCGACTCCTCCGACGCGCCTCTTCCAAAGCCTCCGACCTCCTGACCTTGACTCCTGGTGGTGGCAGCAGCTCGCCCTCCGTACTCGATGGGGAGATCATCTACTCCAAGAACAATGTCTGTGTCCACCCACCTGAGCTGCTGCAAGGCATCGGGGAGCATCACCCAGGTGATGGGGGGTTGCAGACTCTGCTCATTCACTCTTTTCTCTCTCCTGGGGGTGTGTTTGTATGGAATTCTACCTCTTGGGCTCTAAAGAATGAAGAGGTGCCAGTGGGGGACAGGGGAAGGCAGTCTTATGGAAGACTAAGGACAGCCATGCTATTTCTCCTTTCTTTTCTTCTTCATTGATTTATCTCTTCTAGTAGGTTCTTTTGAATTGCTAGAAGATGGACAGTTGTCATTTGAGGACAGTAACTCCTGTTTCTCTTTCAAATATGTGTATTGTTCAGGAAAGCCAAGTATCATCCTGTAACTGTCATTGCTGATGGGGCCTCAACAACCATTGGTAGAGGGAAAAGAAAGAAAACATGGAGTAAATGAAGATAAATACAGCTCTATCCCTTTATTCTCATCTGTTCCTTTGCTCTTTCATGTTCTCATCAAAGAGAGCTGTGGCCACTGGCTTAGCTTCACAAAACTAATTATTCTCTGAACATTGACCCACGCTTCCCTTTTTGTGTGTGTGACTCTTTTTTCTATTGGCTTGTCATGAATATTGTAGCCCTTTGGCTCTACCAAGGTAAATAGTCTTGAGAAAGAAGTGTTTAGCTGGCACTTGGAATTGTTTAACTAAGAAACAGCAGAAGTTTTTCTTGTGCCAACATATTTCAGAATGTAATAATCCACGCAGGAAGCTGAAGTATTTGCATGTTGTTTCTCTGTCCACTTAGGCCAGAGGGAATTTAGACTTTTCAAAAGCCATATGGAGACTTGAAATTATTTGTAAATACTGACTAATGCTGAGCATGCCACAGTTCATTTGGCAGAATTCTGTCCTGGTTAATGAAAGGGTTTGTTTTGCCCTTGTGTAATGGTGGTCAAGTGAGGGGAGATGGGGAAGAGCAAATTTCAGGTTTATGGAGTTTCCTTAGACTAAATCTGCATCATAACTGACGGTTTCTGTGCTCTCTTGAAGGCTACTTGTGCTTGTACATGGAGAAGGATGAGCTCCTGGGAACCACCCTGATCCTTGCCTGGGTGCCCAACTCCCGCATCCAGCGGCAGGATGAGGAAGTGCTGCGCTACATCACCCCCGAGAGCTCCCCTGTGCACAAAGCCCCCCGCAAGCGCGGCCGCCACGCTCAGGGCTTCGGCACTGTCCAGCAGCCTTCCCCCACTGAGCAGAGAGGGGCCATGCTCCTGAGAGGAGAAGACATCCTGACTGTGTCACAGCTTGTGAAAGACGTGGCTTACATCAGCTCCCCCTCTTCGGAAGGGGAGAAGCTGCCGCAATGCTGCCCCTCAGGAGACGGCACCCACCGGTCCCCCCAGCCTGCACGCAGTGACTCAGGAATCCTCTTGACAATCAGCTCTCAGGAGGAGCAGAACAGGTCGGAGCTGTCAGTGGAGGGGACAGAGGAAGGTCTGGACTGCAGGCCAGAGCCAGGGGAGGACGAGGGCTCCCTGGAGCTGTCTGCTGATGACGTGAGCAGGGACAGTACTTTTGACTCTGATTCTGATGCCTTCTCTTCCCCCTTTTGCCTCTCTCCCATCAGTGAAGCCCTCGGGAAAAGCAGTAGTTCCGTGTTCCTGGATAATGAAAGCAGGTGAGTGCATCCTTTTCTCTAGTTGCTGGGTGAATAACTGGGGTGCTGGTAGCTGAGCTTGGAGGTGCTGAAGGAAATTGAGAAGCTTCAGAGTGGCACTGAGCTGAATATCCTGTCTCGCTTCAGACACCCGTATAATTCACAAGAAATTGTTTGACAGCCAGTCCTGTTTCTGCTCAGTGAACCCTGGCCCTGAATATTCAGGGCTGTGCATGAATTACAGGTGAACTGTCTTGAGCCCTTTGAGCACCATCACTAAATTAAAAAGGCCCTTTGTTGGCCTAATTGGCTCTCTGAGGAGAGATGCAAGTTACTGCTTGTGGAGAACCACATCAAAGTGTCAACCTGACTGCCTCTGAGCCATGGCTGCCTCACTGCAAGGCACTGTGTTGACATGAAGCCTGCTTGTGGGACCGTTTTTGCTGGTGTTCAGAACATGGTCCCACTTACAACACACAAACACTAATTCTGGCATGTCTACCCTGGACGTTTTAGTCAATGCTGCTATATCTAAATGGCAATGCTTCTCAACAGCATCTGCAGCAACCTTCACCTAGGAGAAAGAGGGCACCCTGCAGAGGAATAATGAGGAGTAGGATGCCTGTATAACTCCCTCTACTGATACACAGTGTTTCTGGCTTTGTGGTCTGTGCTCTGTGCTGTGTATCCCTCATTTCCATCTTGGGGAGGATGCGTGTGCTGCGTTCATGAAGCACCATGGGGCTGATTTTAAGGCTCAACTTTGAAACTGCACCTGAAATTAGGAAAAGCAAGTTCTCCTTTGTGTGTGTCAGCAATGTACAGCTACATGAAGACCTCGGAAAAGGTTTTGCCCCTTTATTTTATGTCTAATTCAAGCCCAGAGAATGCTGGTAAGAACAGGGTTTGTGAAGGAAGTATTCAAATTGGTCCATCTCTCTCTGGGTATTTTAAACCACTTCAGAGCAGTGATGTCAGACTTCGGATCAGCTTTACACTGATACATGTCTTACCAGTATGCTTCTAATTAACCATGAGCCACAGGGGTTTCTGGCTTGAGCTCTGCAGCAGCTGGGTGGGCAGTGGTTTGAGCAGCACCATCCCATTCCAGCCCATCCCATCTTGTCATGTTTTGGTTTCCAAATTGTGTTGAACAAGGTCAATTTGACAGTGTCTCTCTCAGCTTTCTAAATTGTGCCTGACAAGTATTCAATGTAGAAGACTTTGGGAACTACATAAATGTCACAAAACACCCTTGAAAAGAATTTTAGAGAGGCCTTTGAATCTTTAAATACCACTGCTAAGAACTGGCTTGATTTTTCTGGTTTCCAGGCTTTTTGTCCCATTCAGATTGTGTTCTAGCACTGGGCTACTGCTTGGGGCTTGAAACTTCAGTCGCATACACCTTTAGAGAGTGTCATGTTGCGTTAGAAACTTCTTGGCATTGAGCTAAAAACCAGAAAGCCCCCAAATCCTCTGCACCCAAAGCATCTCTTTGGTAATCTTGTTTGACCTGTGTCTGTTATTCAGAAAAAAGTGAAGTTGGGGGACACATTTAAGCATATTTTGGTAGATAAAGTACAATTACAATGCTTCTGAGTTCCAAATAAGACTCTTGAAGGCCAAATGTTCCTGTCCCGCATTGTGAGTGTGGAAGCTATGGCCCTGCTCGCTGCACACCCCAAGGCATTATCCTGGAGTGGGAATAGTGCGGGACACATTTCAAACAACATCCTATTCCTACTGGAAATCAGGAGGTCGAACTGATCCGGGGGAAAGCCAGCCCTTGGCCCATGTGCAGCGCGAGGTGTGAGCGGCTGCGGGCGCAGGGCTCCGGGCAGAGCAGGCAGCTGAGGAGCCTTGCGGTGTAACTTGTGCAGCGCTGATGCTCTGGGCTGCGGCGGTGTCAGGGGGGAAGGAAGCATTGCTCTTGCATCCTCACCCCTGCTCTGAATCCCTGCAGCCTGGCTCAGCCGGGCCCTCTGCCGGCTTTGCTGCCGCCCGGCTGGGAAACAGCTCCTGCTCCTGGGAGATTTTCCCCTTTCCCTTCCCCTCCTTTTCCTATTTTTCTCCATTTTCCTTGTCCCTCCTGTGGCACCAGGCTGGGAGCCTCACACACTGTGTGCAGCACTCATCATTTGCAGCAGATTAATAAAACAGACCTTTCATTGTTTGGGACTTCAGACTTGAACGGCTTTTGTCCAGTGTGGCCATGTTTTATGCCAATCTGTTCTTCCCTACAGAGCCCCCTTGCCTGGCATCTGCAGGATCTTACCAGCTCTCTGAGCAGGAGATTTTGCATACAGTACTTTGCAGAAGTCCCATCAAAAGGCATTCCCTGCGTTCATCCCGGTGTGTTGGGGGTGGGGGAATGCTGGTTCAGAAGTCACTACAGCATGAGAACAGCTTCCTTGTTTCTTAAGGGTGTTTTTCTCCTTCTGCTGGCTGCTTCCCATCTGAGCCAGAACTGGAGTGTGAACAAAGTTTGTGCTGCTGGCAGATGGTTTGAACATTTTTCCCTCCCTACCTCCCAGTCACCATCTCCTCCCTGCAAAGAGGAACAAATGTTTCTGGTTATTCCCCTCTGCTTTGGGGAGTTGATGTGGAGAGAGCTCTGCTTTCCCCTGGATTGCTTCAGGAGCTGAAGCAGAGCATTGCTGGGTGTTTCAGCCCAGTCTTTGTGTGCAACCAGGTAGCATCAGAAACAGAAAAATGTGACATTGTGAAAGAACTAGGATGCACGAGTGGACTTGGATCCGATGAGATCAGGGGCTCAGCAAGCTGCTTACCAAAATATCCATATAACCAGGAGTCACAGGTCCCTTATGCCTCTTGGAGCATCATAAAATCCCAGACAGGCTTGGGTTGGAAGGAACCTTAAAGCTCCTCCAGTTCCAACCCCTGCCACGGGCAGGGACACCTTCCACTGGAGCAGCTTGCTCCAAGCCCCATCCAGCCAGGCCTTGAACACTGCCAGGGGTGCTCTGAGAAGGTGACCTGGCTGTGGGGCAGAAGGGAACCCACAACAGAGTGGTGTGCGTGGTGCGGTGCAGGGGCAGGGAGGTAGGCAGCAGTGTTTGAGTTGTGCAATGGGTCAGTCATTGTGAGTTAACAACTTGTCTGGTAGAACATAAGGAAATAAAAACGTATCCATTGTTTTTTGGGGTTTTTTTTCCCCCTTTGCTTCTCAGCTGACAGCCTGCCAGGGATCCCATGCAGCGACCAATGCTTGCCTCCCATTTACACAATTCCTCAGGCTAGGAGCTATGGGAGTGTCCCATCACCAGCATACACATTCTTGTTTCTCTTTTTAGATGAGCCCAGCACTTCTGCCTGGTGCACTCCTCTCACATGGAGGGATGGCTTTACTCTGTTGGGGTTTGTGGCCTTCTTAACTTTGGGGGTCCCTTTCTGCTTGTGGTACATGGCTCCTGCAGGGGGGTTGCTAATATGTGAAATCCATGGGTTGGTGGTGGCCTTGTTATTGACTGTATTCCTGCAGGAAAGGAGGGATGCTAGAAATAAAATCATTCCTTTCTGTTCCCTTTCTCCCCTGTCACCATTGTTTGCTGACTCTCAGGAAACATTTGCCATGTGGTCTGAAGGGCACTGCTTGAGGAGAGCTGTGTTCTACACCCAGCTTTGGCTTGCTGCCGCCCTGTTCAATTACTCAGCTTCCATTTTCCCCATCAATAAAGTGAAACTAGAAGCCTTTTGTTACATCCTGGCAACCAAATAGTATCTGACACCAATATAATGTCTTTCAACCGATGCCTCTGAAGTTACTTTAACTGACCATGACATCAGATCTATACCAGTCGTTGCAGAAGCACTTAGTGCTCTGTGAGTGGGGTTTGTTTGAAGGTTTGGTGTTTTCTGTGCTGTGCCTGGTTGACAGGATCTTCCCCTGGCAGTGTGTGATCAGGCTGCTAAAGGCTTTTTGCTTCGGTAGTCAACAGTGATTGCTGTTATCTGATGAGCACCATGCAAAACTGCTGAAGAAGACAAATAAATGCTGGCGTTGGTTCCTTCGCTAACATCAGGTTGGGATGTTGGTTGGTACAGTGAGAATTTGGAGTGAGAAGCCTCAGTGGGGCAATCACATGAGCAGAGCTTGGGGCAACAGCCGGCCAGAGGCTGGAGCTCTGCAAAGGGTCCTGCAGGTGGTGGAATAGACACAGCTCACACTCCCACAGCTTTAAAGGACAGGCAGGAGTGATGTGAGTGATGTGGTCATGGGTACCAATGGAGAAGGAGCCTTCTTCCATAAGGAGGTGGTGATTTTAGCTGCCAGTAATAACAATAGTGAAAGGTTTTCACAGTGGAGCTAAACAAAGCCCCGGTTCTGGTGTTCTCCAGCAGAGGTGAATTCACCTGACCCAGCTAGCGCAGGCGGCCCAGGCGAAGCACACAGCGCACGGAGGAGCTGCTCTGGTGCTGCAGTTGATGCAACGTTTACAGCTGTGTTGCACATCCTGTTGTTAAGCCTCTTCCCAGGGAGCTGATGAGTAAATCATCTCCTCGGGAGGGAGCGGAGGCTCAGTGCTGCCGAGGGTGGCAACGCCGGTGGGAGCAGTGGTAACAGTGTGTGGAGTTGCATCATGTTGTTTTGGCAGCTCACCTGAAGGGCTCGGTGCTGCTCAGCCCTCTGCAGGATAAACAGGAGGGAAAATTATAGGGGAAATGAGCTGAAATGAGTGTGAACTGGCAGGAGCTCTGGAGCCACCGGCAGGCTGGGGATTCATCACTGTTGTAATAGGGGTGATTATATTCTCAGAACCAGGGGAACTGGGCACACACTTCTTGCAGCATCTTACTTTTGATGATTCCAGCCTTGGGGATGAGTCCATGGGGTTCTGCTGCTCCTGGGTCAGGCTTCAGTTCCCCAGGGCATGGCCTGAACAAGTTTGATTACAGTATAAGACACCAAAGCACCTCATTCCATTTGCACCCAGATTCATGCCTAGGAAAAAACCATCCCCAAATCTTTCTTCCATCACAAAGATGGTCCCTCTTCCCTT